AATATCAACTTCGCCAATTTAAGCCTAAATCTTCTCTACAACTCCAAAACCTATTCCGATCGCGCTCCTAAGTCACAAATCACCTCCCGAAGCTAGCCGAACCGTCAGAACTCACTTCCGAGCCTTCTAACACATAAGTCAACATCCGGTTGACTTTTCCAACTTAAGCCTTAAAAGAAACTAAGTGTCTCATTTCTTACCAAATCCTCTCCGAACTCGAACTAATCAACCCGATCACATAAGACACGAATAACGAAGCGTAAAGAAGCTAAAATAGGGGAAAACGGAGCGGTAACTCATGAGACGACTGGCCGGGTCGTCACAAATTTGGTCTCGTGGAAGAGCAAGAAACAGAATGTAGTTGCTCGATCTAGTGCCGAAGCCGAATATTGGGCCATGGCTGTGCCAACGTGTGAGTTAGTTTGGGTCAAGCGGTTGCTCAAGGAGTTAAAGTTCGGAGATATAGCTGGATGGAACTAGTGTGTGATAACCAAGCTGCTCTTCATATTGCGTCAAATCCGGTGTTCCATGAGAGGTCTAAACACATTGAGATCGACTGTCACTTTGTCAAAGAAAAAATACTTTCAGGAGATATTGTTACAAAGTTTGTAAAGTCGAATGATCAACTAGCAGATATTTTCACTAAGTCTCTTACTGGTTCTCGTATTAGTTACATGTGTAACAAGCTCGGTACATATGATGTGTATGCACCGGCTTGAGGGGGAGTGTTAGATATGTACATAATGTAGTCTTATCCCACATTGGAATAGGAGTAGTAGTAAGACCTCTTAGTATAGCTATAAATAAGGGCCTCTTGTATTGTATTGAACACAATATCAATATATCATATTTTCTCCCGTGCCTTCTCACAGCTATAAATAGGACCTCTTGTATTATATTGAGTAACTAATATCAATAATAATATTTTCTCCCATGCTTTCTCACATGGTATCAGAGCAATCGTGAGAGATTTATTATGCATAAATTCTAGCGACTCCGGGAAGAGAAATCAGTCAACCGGAAGTCTTTTTCCGGCAAACACATGTTTGCCGCCGTAAAAAAGCCATTTTTTGTCAGTATTGTGCAAAAACTAACACCACCACAAAGTAGATCGGCCTCTGGCGACCAATCCATAAAAATATCTTCGTTAGAAGACGTCACGCGTCGGCGCGCGGGGCCCTTTCGAACCACTTTTTGTAAAAACAATTCTTTAAGACAAATTGTTCGCAAGGGAATTTCAAGCCTACCCATCCATGTTACACCAAATTCCAACTACTTTTATATTTTTCCGGCGTGAACACTGATTTCAGAAGGGTTTCTATTTTTCCGGCGTGAAATTATAATGTCATTCGTATCAAAAGCCTTTGACTCACAATCTGTTAGATCCAATTCATTGAATCCAATCCAGATGGTTTCTTTTGAGTTCCTTCATTACAAAGCATGTAAACATTGTAAAGAGACATCTTCAGAGATTGCTTCTGTTGTTCAAACAGGTAGTAGCGTGAGTTGTGTCTCCCAATCTTCAACCTCCGAGTCGTGGGTCATTGATTCAGGTGCATCGGATCATATTTTTGGTAACAAATCCCTTTTCACTACTATTTTGTATTCTCAATCTCTTCCAAGAGTCACAGTGGCCAATGAGTCTCAAACTATAGCAACCGCAATAGGTCAAGCAAGCCCACTTCCCTCCTTACCTTTAGATCCAGTCCTTTATGTTCCCAATAGTCCTTTTAATCTTATAGTTGTTAGTCGCTGAGCCAAATCACTTAAATGCACTGTTTTATTTCTTGATGACCATGTTTTTATACAGGAACGCAGTACGGGGCGGATCATTGGTACCGGGCGTGAATCAAACAGACTTTATTACCTTATCCTTGCTATATCACATGGACTCACATTTTGTCTTCCTTCAATAACTTGTCCTGTTACTAATTGACCAGATTTATTACATAAACAGTTGGGACATCCCAGTTTGTCAAAACTTCAGAAAATGGTACCTGGTTTATCTCACTTGTTAGCTCTAGAGTGTGAGTCTTATCAGCTCGGTAAGCATACTCGCTCTCATTTCCCTCGACGCCTTGATAATCGAGCAGAGTCACCTTTTACTTTAGTCCGTTCAGATGTTTGGGATCCTAGTCGGGTCAGTTCCACCTTGGGATTCTGCTATTTTGTCGGTTTCATTGATGATTATTCCACGTGCACTTGGAATTCAGACCTTCCACGCTGAAATTCAAAATCAATTTGGGATTTCTATTCTCACATTTCGTAGTGATAAAGCCCGAGAGTATTTGTCTTCCCCATTTCAGCAGTTTATGAAATCTCATGGAATTATTCATCAAACATCTTGTCCGTACACATCTCAACAAAATGGGGTAGCTGGAAGAAGGAATAGACATCTTATTGAAATTGCTCGTACCCTACTCATACAATCTCATGCTCCGTTGCGTTTTTGGGGGGATGCAGTTCTTACATCTTGCTATCTTATTAATCGTATGCCATCTTCAGCTATCCAGAACCAAGTTCCATTCTCTGTCATGTTTCCCTACTTACCTTTGTTCTCTCTTCCACCCCGTATCTTTGGAAGCAATTGTTTTGTCCATAACCTTACTCCAGGAACAAATAAGTTAGCTCTTCGTGCACTTAAGTGCGTATTTCTAGGTTACTCAAGAACACAAAAGGGTATCGATGCTATTCTTCTGACCTTCAGCGGTACCTTATGTCCGTTGATGTTACCTTTCTTTGAAACCCAATCATACTTCACAGGTCCAGGTAATCACTTAGATATTTCTGAGGTACTACCAGTTTCATCTTTTGGAGATTCAATCACTATCTCCCATTCATCTTCCTCTACATCTCGAGCTCCACCACTTACAGCTCCAGTTGTAGCTCCACCACTTATAGCTTCAGTTCCACCACCTATAGCTCCAGTTCCTCCACATAATCCAGTTCAATCTTCTGCAGCTCCACCACTCTTGACTTATCATTGTCGTCCACATCCAGCATCAGACCCAGGTGATTCACGTCCTGCATTAGATTTTGCACCTACTACGGACTTGTCTCCTCTTAGTCAACCAATTGCACTCCGCAAAGGTGTACGATCCACACTTAATCCTAATCCCCACTATGTCGGTTTAAGTTATCATCGTTTGTCGTCACCTCATTATGCTTTTATATCTTCTTTGTCCACTGTTTTTATCCCTAAATCTACAGGTGAGGCATTATCTCATCCAGGATGGTGACAAGCTATGATTGACGAGATGTCTGTTTTACATTCGAGTGGCACTTGGGAGCTTGTTTCTCTTCGTGCAGGTAAGTCTATTGTTGGTTGTCATAGGGTTTATGTAGTCAAAGTCGGCCCGGATGGCCAGGTTGATCGGCTTAAGGCCTTGTTGCAAAAGGATATACTCAGATTTTTGGGCTTGATTATAGTGATACTTTCTCTCCCGTGGCTAAAGTAGCATTTGCTCGTCTCTTTTTGTCCATGGCTATTGTACGTCATTGGCCTCTTTATCAGTTAGACATTAAGAATGCTTTTCTCCACGGTGAACTTGAGGAGGAAGTTTATATGGAGCAACCACCTCGTTTTGTTGCTCAGGGGGAGTTTAGTGGTTGTGTATGCAGATTGCGCAAGTCACTATATGGTTTGAAACAGTCCCCTCGAGCTTGGTTTGGTAAGTTCAGCACAATTATTCGGGAGTTCGGCACGACTCATAGTGAGGCTGATCACTCTGTGTTTTATCGGCATTCTACTCCTAATCCGTGTATTTATCTGGTGGTTTATGTTGATGATATTGTTATTACTGATAAGGATCAGGATGGTATTACTAATCTGAAGCAACATCTCTTTCAGCACTTCCAGATTAGGGATTTGGGCAGATTGAAGTATTTTCTAGGTATTGAGGTCGCTCAGTCTAGCTCGGGTATTGTTATTTCACAGCGGAAGTATGCCTTAGAAATTCTTGAGGAGACTGAAATGATGGGTTGCAGACCTATTGACTCTCCTATGGATCCGAACACTAAGCTTCTGCCAGGACATGGAGGCCTCTTAGAGACCCCACGAGATATAGGAGGTTGGCAAATTGAATTACCTCACAGTGACTAGGCCTGACATTTCTTTTCCGGTGAGTGTTGTAATTCAGTTTATGGATTCTCCCTGTGATAGTCACTGGGATGCAGTTGTTCGCATTCTTCAGTATATAAAGTCAGCTCCAGGCAAATGATTACTATTCCAGGATCGAGGTCACGAGCAGATTGTTGGGTACACGGATGTTGATTGGGCAGGATCAACTTTTGATAGACGTTCTACGTCTGGATATTGTGTTCTAGTAGGAGGTAATTTGGTCTCTTAGAAGAGCAAGAAACAGAATGTAGTCGCTCGATCTAGCGCCGAAGCCGAATATCGGGCCATGGCTATGGCAACGTGTGAGTTAGTTTGGGTCCAGCAGTTGTTCAACGTGTTAAAGTTCGGAGAAATCAGCAAGATGGAACTAGTGTGTGATAACCAAGCTGCTCTTCATATTGCGTCAAATCTGGTGTTCAATGAGAGGACTAAACACATTGAGATCGACTGTCACTTTGTCAGAGAAAAAATACTTTCAGAAGTTATTGTTACAAAATTTGTAAAGTCGAATGATTAACTAGCAGATATTTTCACTAAGTCTCTTACCGGTTCTCGTATTAGTTACATGTGTAACAAGCTCGGTACATATGATGTGTATGCACCGGCTTGAGGGGGAGTGTTAGTTATGTGTAGTCCCACATTGGAATGAGAGTAATATGTACTTTGTAGACTATAGCTATAAATAGGACCTCTTGTATTATATTGAATAACTAATATTAATAATAACATTTTCTCCCGTGCTTTCTCACTTAAGGCTCTACATTGTAAGTTAAGGAAGCTGGAAATTACATTTGTGGACATGATTATATCCTCTTTTCCAACTTCCATGTGGTTTCTGATATCTTTGACTTCAATTTTCAAAAAATCTCCTCATTTGCAGCTATCAGTGAAATTACTCTTTTGGAGCTTATCTCTCAATTATATAGAGTAAGAAGTCTTTGTTTGAGGGAAACTCAGCTTGACGACAATTCTCTCTACAAATTTTCGGGATCGTCACTCGAGATGCTTGATGTATCTGATACTAAGGTTTGTGAGTAATTCTGGATGAACTTAAAGTCTTCTTCCTCCAAGTTATTCTGGAAAAGATGTGGATTTTATTTTATCAGTGTGCTCTAGGGAATAAGCTGTTGCAAATCCATGGGAAATACTTGTTGAATTCTGTGCTTGAAGCTTTTAGGGTGAGCAATTGAAAGGGTGGAGGTCTTTGGTTGAATCTCACGACCTACCATAGTGATAATAATATTTCTTTGTATTTGGCCCGTATAAAAGAATCCAACAGGCGACGGTACATGACAGAGCTATCAAAGACACAATCAAATGAAAAAAAGTTTCCCACTTTAACAGTTTAAGCTCTTAAAAGGGTTGTTCCCACACAAATCTGTACACTTATGTATTTCAGGACATTTATATATCTAGCTTACTTTTATACGCCCTAGTGAATCTGTTGACAGATGAAGTAGAAGCTGGAGTAGATCAGTGGACTTAATCGAACTTCACCAATCTTTTAAAGGTTTCTGGAAATTCAGATCCATGCGTTTTGAAGAAAATATTTAAAATCAGCAACCATCTAGGTACTTTATGTCACTAAACTCTCCACATCTCCATTTAAACTCCCTCTCCACTACATGGATTACTGCCAAAGACGCCAAGGCCTTTCACTTGCTTTTACTGACTTATAGTATCCCAGAAGGGAGCACTTTTTGGGGGCTTTGGACTCTATGGGTGGAGCCTTTGAGGTAGAATGATGCTTATAGACAGATGACAGATGACAGATGATTTGTGTTTAGCATGAAATCGAAAAGTTCTGCCTTACACCTGGAGTAAGATCTGCACAGTACGACATGTCTGTATGACCAATATATTGTAAACTTTGGAATTTCAGGTTTCTTGCCATGCAGTGGGTCATGTTGTCCGCAGAAGTCCTCATCTAAAGTGCTTGATTGCCAGAGGCTGCAGGCATCTATTAAAAGAGGAGAGTAATATTCTAGAGAACTCTCCTGCTTTGTCATATAACTGTCCTGTATTGTATTATGAGCTTGGAAAGTCCTGCAATTTGGAGGAAATCTCACTTGGTTGGGGATTCTCATTCTTTTCACTGGAGGCCCTGCGGCCAGCAATTAAAATGTTGAGGACATTTATTGTTGGTTTAGGTGGATCTTTAGGTGAAGATGGGCTCAAGCTGGTACCCACTTTTTGTCCTTGGCTAGAGACGTTGATTCTTTATTTCCAGGTAAAGTGTTTACATAAACTTCTTGGTAGTTTTTTCCCCCTCGTCTCGATCCAGTTAGTTGTGTGCAAATTGAACAATGTTCAATGAGCTTATGGGTTGAGGGCCTGAACTGGTGTTCAATCATCTAAATTGTAAAGAAATATGATGACGGAACTGTATTGTCGAAAATGACAAAAGCTGTTGATCCTTGCAACTCATTTCTAAATCTTTTTCGCCTTTTATTATGTTTATTCCAAGGCATGGTTCCTCATGTCCAAATACTTTCACTAACTCTTTTCATTGTCTTGAGTTCTCTTTTTGTAGTGTACCACCTTCAAGTCTCTCTTTTATTTGTTTATAAGGACCACCTTCAAGTCTCTTTACCATAATGACAATGGATGATGTATATTTCATGATCAATGGTTCCTTCAAGTAACATGAAGTGTGATGAAAGTTATCTTTCCCTTGGGTATTTATCCTTGAAAGTTAAGCTGAGGGGCTGCAACCTGTTTCAAGTCTGAACTTATTTACCTGGGCTTGGAAACTAAAGGTTTCTTCTTTGTCTCTAAATCTGTTCCATCTTTACTTGAGATTTCAAAAGCTTGGACTAAAGGTTTCTTCTTTCTCACTAAATCTGTTCATCTTTACTTGAGATTTCAAAAGCTTGGAGAGACACCTTTTAATATCATTCCATAAAATGAAAGTATGGAATTTGCTAACTTGTCTATGTATAGTTTTTTTGTTCTTTGAAAGTTCTATTCTGAATCTTACAATTTCTTAGATTATTCGAGACTGGGAATCTGGTCCTTAAGTTAGACTTTGATAAAGCCACCACTCTCTCATTTTATAAATTATTACATCTTAAAAAATGTTTAATGTATAATTTTTCTTGAGCTGAGGGTCTTTTGGAAATAACGTCTCTACCTCCACAAGATAGGGGCAAGGTCCGCATACACTTTACCCTCCCTAGAACCCCACAATGTGGGAATACGCTGGGTATATTGTCGTTGTTTAATAATTAATATATAATTTTAGAATTTGTGGTCAAATGTACTTATCAAAAAACAAAAATTGTGGACAAATTTATAAAGTTTTGAAATCAAAAAGCAAACCAACAAAGAAATCAGACAGGGAGTGTACTTTCGGTAATTTTATAAAGTTAACTTGCAATAATGGGACTTATCAGGATACAATAGTGCTGTGAGATTTTTCTCTCCAAACTTGTTACTTACAAAATCTAACATACACATTTATATCTGACTATACGTAGGTTTGTATGGATTGAGAGTGTCAATTATTCATTTCATTGAGCATAGAAAAATAGGGCATCCAGTTGTTAACACGATCTACTTTACCTTCTTGTGCCTGGAAATCTAACTTCGGTTGCTAATGTAATTTATCTTGTTCGAGACTTAAATAATGTGTATTTCAGACTAGTGCTTGAAATCAGTGTTGCCTACTTAGTATTACTGATCTTAACAGGTAATATCTGATTCTGTTGTAAGAAATATCTTGGAGACCTTAAAAAACTTGCAAGTGTTAGCTCTTTGCTATTGCTTTGGTGAGATTTCCTCACTAAGCTTCCAGTTCAGTGCACCGTGTTTGAGGAAATTGAAGCTTGAAAGAGTAACAGCACAGATGACCAATGATGATTTACTTACCCTTGCTCAGAATTGCATGAACATAACTGAGCTTTCTCTGCTGGGATGCAGACGTCTTAATTCAGGTTTGCACTACTCTCAAGAACATCATGTTTGAATTTTTATGATTGGAAAATTCTCCTGTGTCTGAGGTTCATCCAGTTGTAACAAACAAATCCATTTTTCTGTTCTTATTCTCCAGATCAATTAGACAATAAGAACATCTATGCCTCAATCCCAAGCTAGTTAGAGTCGGCTATATGAATCCTCGCTATCCATGTTACTCCATTTATCTTGTCAATCTTATGTCAAAATGTTTGGGTTCTCTAGCACTAGAAGTTCTCTGCTTTTTTTACAGGCATACGAATCTCTAACAACACTAAAAGACTCCTAACAAACATTGGACCCAAAGTAAGTGTACCAACATGATTAAGCCTTACTCCGAACTAGTTGGTATTGCTTACGTGGGTCCTTTTCGTCCTTTGTGCCTTTATTTTCACTAAGTCTACCTAGGTTCGAAAAGATTGTCGGTCTTTTGAAACAACTTTCTTCCATGTGATTTTAGGTGTACCTCATCCCTTTTAACTGCAATCCTGTCTTATCTCACCTCAACTTTATTTTTTTATGTTGGCTAATCATGTGGTGCATATATTCTATCTTGTGCTTATCCTAACTAAATCCTCACTCTCTAGAAAGTATCTCCAATTTTCAAGTTTAATGACACCGTCTCTAATTTCGCCAATTAACACAATATTGTTTGCAAATAGCATACATCATAGGGACTGATCTTGTATATTGTTAGTGCATTCATACTTGGGGTAAATAATTACGGGCTAAATGCAAATAAATGGTGTAAGCCTATGGTTAGGGGAAACTCCGTTGTTTCTACTATCACTGTTCTTATACTTGGTCTAAAGAATGAGAAACTAAGAGATGTTAGGAATTGAATTGCTTGACTATTCCCCCAACGACATTGGGCTTTGAGTATAGTTTACAAGTAATCCAGACAAGAGATCATAACTCAAGTGGAAAGCATCTCCACCTCCAACCGTAAGGTTGTGGGTTTGAGTCACTATGGGAGCAAATTACCATATCAAAAAAAAAAGTCTACTAGTAATCCAAAAAAAGAAAGGAAAGTAATTTCTATTCCTAAGTACTCAATTCTAAGGATTCTAAACCTTTCCAAAATTTACAAGGAAAGGGCTCTTGTTATATTAATAATTTCCTAATTTTTGACACTAGTGATTGCTTCTTCGTTCTTATTCTTTATATATTTTATTTAATATGGATTCAATTCTTCTCCAATATCCACCAAAGGACATTTCTTTGACATTTTATGATGTTCTTGCCCTAGATCAATAAATATAATATGTGGATCTTCCTTCTTCTCCCTATAAACTTCCATCAATTTTTTTAGCAAGAATATAAACTCTATTATAGATCTACCAAGCATAAAACAAAACTGGTTCTTAGTCACTCTTCTAGTGTTCCTAAGCTTACACTCTATCCCTCTTTCACAAAGTTTTAAAGTATGGTTAATAAGTTTAATGCCTTGGAGCAATGGTAAAGTTGTCTCCGTTTGACCTATAGGTCACGGGTTAGAGCCGTGGAATCACCACGAGTTTTTGGCAAAAATCATCCTTAAATTATGGCTCAAAGCAAGGGTACATCCTTGTCTTATTCTAGTAAAAAAAAACCATCCTTATACTATTTAAAAAGTTGCAAGAATATCCTTCCGTTAAATTTTATCACAAAAACTAACAGCATCATCAAAAGACCATGTCCATCACGTGCCTTTTCCCCTCAATTTTCCAATATTGTCCCTCCTACCCAATCGTCTTCCACTTTTGCCAAAAAGGACTAAGACTTCAAAACTAGAAGTTTCTTTCCATATGAACTTCACACCCAACTATGGTATGATAGTTGGAACTCTCCGATCTCATGCTATACTATTTCTTGCTAACTTCCTTTTGGAGAGGAAAGTGCAAAGCCTTTAAAAATAGTGGAAGAGTTTTGACTTTCTAAGCAGCAGCATGTATTTCACTGCACGTACAGTAAATTTTGATATTTTATCTTTCATTTGAGGTGATAATGCAAGGTTTGTTTTTAAAATGTGACTCCAACTTCGGTTTAGCTCAACTATTGTGAAACCACTCACTCCGACAAATGGAAGAGGACTAATCTAGTTTCAGACTTTCAGGTTCTTGATTTAGAGCTAGAACCTTTTAATTTTTCTCATTTATAGGTAGTCTAATAAAATTGACACAAAGAGAATCGGCACCCTCATCAAAGCTCGGCACAAATATAAGATTTTACATGATCATAATGCACTTCCACCTCAAGGTCGTGCCAATCTCTTGTTATCATCAGCTTGTTATAAGAAGACAACTTAAGGAGAAGTTATTTCAGTGTAGGCCATTTTTGTTCATTAAATAGCAGCAACTTTTAAGAAGAAATAAGCAGCAGCTAGTTCATCCTACTAGCTTTCTTGAAGAAGAAGAAGAAAGAAAGGGAGGAAACAAAAATTAAGAAGGAAAAAGAAGATGGTCAGCACGTTCTTAGAAAAGTCGATTGGGCAGGAGGGACAATATTGGAAAATTGAGGGGGAAAGGCACGTGATGGACATGGTTTTTTGACGATGCTGTTAGTTTTTGTGATAAAATTTAATGGTAGGATGATTCTTGCATCTTTTTAAATAGTATAAGGATGGTTTTTGTTTACTAAGATAAGACAAGGATGTACCCTTGGTTTGAGCCATAGTTTAAGGATGATTTTTGCGAAAAAATCAATCACCACTGATGCTTGCATTAGGGTAGGCTGTCCGCATCACACCCCTTGGGGAGCGGCCCTTCCCCGGATCCTATGTGAATGTGGGATGCTTCGTGCACCGGGCTGCCCCTTTTTTTTAATGCCATGATAGCTTGCGCAACTTTGAAATTTCCTGTTGTTCTCATATATTGGAATCTTTGCGATGAAAATCCTGGTTTTATGAACTTATAATGTTTCTTTGCAGAGTCGCAAGATACTATTTCAAATGGTTGGCCAGGGTTGATCTCTCTTCATTTAGAGGTTTGCCATTGCTACTGTCACTCCACTTGTTGTATACCTGCTTTTCATGTTTCTTTTTTAAATTTCTAATTCTTCAAGCTGAAGAAAGAATAATCTTTTGTTTAAATTTGCCTAGGTGATAGGNTTTTAGAAGAGATGCATATACGGTAGGAATCTGAAGATCCCATGGGTGAAAAGCAGAGAGAAGCATTAGTCAATGGATGCCTATTAAGCCATGTATCCATTGTCAAGTACAGAATTCGGTATCAACTGTAGTACCACAAAGAGAATTACCAGAGATCAGAATTTCTATGAAGTTGGATGCTTAACAATGCAAGTGTCTCATACAATACCTGGTATAAAAATTAAGATGCTCCTAAGTAAAATTGCTGCAAAATCAAGAAAAAAGATAAAATAGAGAGCTCAAGCACTTTGATCAATGTGTGCACAGAGGTTTAGCAGGCAGGCAATCCACTACTTAGAAATAGTATCAAACTGTCAACGAGAAGTGTAATTTACCTGAGATCACTATCTCTTAAATTAGTTGGCACAGACAGACCTAAACCATCTTAAAACTACAGCCTGACAATTTTAGATCAACTGTTTCTGGATCTAGGCTTCTAAAGCCGGAACATAATGTCCTATATCAGTTACGGAGGTCTGATGCATAAGAAGCATTTATTTAATGAGTCTGATTTCATTCGTAATTTTGTTTTCTCAGAAGCATTTAGTTAATGAGTTCGATTTCATATCACATTTTGTTTTTTCCTGTTAGTTATTTTGAAACTCCAGGTGATAGAATATATAGCTAGTTTCATTTTCAGACTTCCTAGATATAGATTAGATTAGATTCCCGACCCAAAAAGTTTTCAAACTTAAGTCTTTTCGTGCGTTATTTGTGACTTGTTGCACTAGGATCTTTGAGCCAAACGGTTTGGTACTTATTTTGTTTATTTCCTCAGGAAATGTAATTTAGTTGCCTCTGTTCTCTCACAATTTCATTTGGTCTAATCTTTGTTTAGGACTGTGGTGAAGTAACTGCCAAAGGGGTCACTTCGCTTATGAATTGTCAAGCACTTGAAGATCTTTTACTACGTCATAATGTAAGTCTTCAACTATTGAATGTCCTGCACTTCTGTAGATCAAATAAAAATCAAATGGGGGAGCATCAATAATACTGGATAATAAATTCCAAAGCGCACATTTTTTTTTGATAAGGTAAATTGTATTAATCAAAAGGGAGAGAACTCCCGTATACAGGAAGTATACCAAAAAGTAGAGAATTTACATCAGAACATGATTCTCTACAAAAGACGTCCAATCTTCTATACAAGTAGGGGCTATATGAGTGCACCAAAAAGCGATCAAAGATAAAAGACTATTCTTTAGATGTGAAAAAATAGACTCAATCCCCTCAAAAGCTCTCCTATTTCTCTCCCCCAAACTATCCACATGAGAGCTAGCGGGGCGAACTTCTACGCCTTTTGCTTTCTTCTTCTAGGGAAACCTGCCCAACTATATAACATTTCCTTTACGGTGCTTGGCATCACCCATTGAACACCAAAAAGGTTCAGGATCACCCTCCACAAATCCGAGGACACAGGGCAATGCAACAAGTGTAATTCCTCTCTTTCGCAAATTCTCAGCAGTCAAAATTACTCCCCTCGCCGCTAGACATGCAAAAAAGCACACCTTCGTGGGTGCCTTAGGAATCCAGATCGAGGAGTATGGAAAAGAGGCCTCCTCTCTCACCAACATACTCTGGTAAAAGGACTTTATGGTGAACAAACCATCGCCACGTAAACCCCATCTCCAAGAATCACAAAATGGCTGGGGTCTGTCTTGCCCATATAGCGGTGTCAATAAATCTTAGAGCTCCGCAGTCTCCCAATCTTGCATGTTCCTTCTAAATGAGAGGTCCCATACTAGCCCCCTTCATGTTCCTTACGAATCTGTTGGACCATCAATTCATTCTAGTTTGAAACTCTGAAACCCTCAGAGTTTCCTCTCCACACCACCTATGATTCCAAAAGCTGAGTCTCCTTCCATCTCTCACCCTGTAAGTAATGTTACCACCGAAAGATTCCCAATTCTTCATGATACTCCTCCACATGCCACACCCGAAAGGTGTTGTGATTGCCTTGGTCCTCCAACCCCCTCCCGCGGAATCGTACTTTTCTACTATGACCTCCCTCCATAAAGCATGCTCTTCTATCCCGAATCTCCACAGCTATTTTCCCAACAAAGCTCTGTTGAATACCCTAAGATCTTTTAATCCAAGTCCACTCCACTTCTTTGGGGAAGTGACTGTCTGCCAATTCACTAGATGATACTTTCTAGTTCCATCTGCTGCATCCCAAAGAAAATTCCTTTAAAGCCGCTCCAGTTTTTCTGTGATTCTCACAGGAGCTTGCAACAGAGACAGGTAATAGGTGGGCATACTCGATAAGATGCTTTTGATAAGCACTTCCTTTCCGCCTTCTGACAAGTACCGTTTCTGCCAGCCTGCTAATCCTTTTTCAACCCTTTCGATCACTGGATTCCAAACCATAGTATCCTTATGCGAAACGCCCAATGGGAGACCCAAGTAAGTAGTGGGAAGGGAGCCCACCTTACGTCTAAGAACATAAGACAAAGCATCAATGTTAGCAACATCACCCACCGGGAAACTCTCACACTTGCCGAGGTTGATTTTGAGACCTGATACTATCTGAAACCACTGCAGGACCTGCTTCAGGTAGGTCAACTGATCCATATCGGCATCACAGAAAATCAGGGTGTCATCCGCAAAAAGCAAATGAGAGACTCTTCGGGCATTGGGCACCCCGATCGGAGCTGAGAATCCTCTCAAGAAGCCTCCGGCCGCCGCACGATCCATCATTTTACTCAGAGCATCCATCACTAGAATGAATAGCATGGAGGATAGGGGGTCTCCTTGCGTGAGACCCCTGGAGCTGCCAAAGAAACCACACAGGCTACCATTGACCAGGACAGAGAATCCGACTGAGGAAATGCAAAACTTGATCTATCCCCTCCATCTTGCCCCAAACCCCATCCGCATCATAATGAAATCTTGGAACTCCTAATTGACATGGTCGAAAGCCTTCTCAAGGTCCAACTTGCATAGTAAGTCGGGATCTCTATTTTTCCTTTTGGAGTCTACAAGTTCATTTGCCACCAAAGCGGCATCCAGGATCTGCTTACCTTCCACAAACGCATGCTGGGATGACGAAACGGACACGTCAAGAACCTTCTTGAGTCTGTTGGAAAGCACTTTAGAAATAATCTTGTAAATGCTTCCCACGAGACTAATAGGCATGTAGTCTCTGATACAAGATGCACCTTCTTTCTTAGGCACAATAGTAGTAAAAATAGCATTGATACTTCTCTCGAAAACACCATTCACATAGAAATATTCAATGGTTTCCATCAACTCCCCCTTGATAGTGTCCCAACAGAGTTGGAAGAAGGCCAAGGAGAAACCATCAGGGCCGGGGCCCTTATCACTAGCACAACTCGACACAGCCTCGTGCACCTCTTCCTCCTCGAAAGCCCTTTCTAGCCACTCACTGTCTCCCTCCCCTATGTGGTTAAACTCTATTACCCCAAAGTCGACCTCCAACTAACTTCCTCTTTGTATAAGTTCTCATAAAACCTCATTATTGCCCCTTTTACCTCCTCCGCTCCCTCAATCCTCACCCCATCCACAACTAAGGACTATATGAAGTTTCTCCTTCGATTTGCAACCGCCACCCTATGGAAAATTTGGTATTCGAATCCCCCTCCTTTAACTATAGCGCCCTCGATTTTTGCTGCCAGCTAGTCTCCTGAGCTATTGCTAACTCGACTATTTCCCTCTTAACCTCCCCCAATCTCTCTTTCTCAGATTCATCTAACTCCCTCGCCCTCCCTCATTTTAACCTCTACCCTCCCAAAAACCTCCTTATTCCACCTAATAATATCTCCCTTAAGCAATTTAAGTTTCTTCGAAAGACGGAATGAAGGTGTCCCTGATACCCCGTAACTTGTCCACCATTCTTTCACCTTGTC